GGAAAGGAAAATATGGTAAATGTACTTGATATCACATCTGTCGCATCAACCTCTTCTCGGGCTCATACTGCATACTGTCTGGAGGCCACTCTAGGCTCTGCACCGACCACTGGTCTAGCTATCCCATTATTCTGCTATCCCAATGCAGTACTACCTCTCATAGATGGTTTTCGGCCCCTGTACTGATGGTGTGGATCTCTGACTATGAGTTGAAGTCACTCTTTGAACTCTCAAAAATCATGTGCAAAGTGACCCAAAGATTCGTAACTATAGCAATCATCAAAACCCTACTGACAAGTCCCCACGTTCCTCTTTCCCACACTACACACAAACAGGACGAGTGAAACCTTTGGATGGGACGTGGGTACTAACTTCTGAATCAAGTGTTAAAAGTCTCCTATGGGTCTCGAATCTACCCTCTCTGTCCAAACTCTGCCCAATCCTCCTCATCTGTTGCGTTGGGGGTCTCGACGAACCCTGACTATCTCTGGCCTTTTTGCCAGAGTCTATGATGGCCTCACTAGCTCAGAGCCTCTCCTGATCTTCCTTGAAGTCTTACTAGACTGCCTAGCTTGCATATCCAAAGCTCTCTCAACTGCCTTCGCCTGGTGGGTCAGTTGGGAGAAGACTCTAGGAGGATCGACTGCAAGATGTGATAATATATCACCACGAAGGCCCTCTCTGAACTGGTAACATCGACGCTCCTCTGTCAGAATCAATTATACAATATATTTGTTGAGCCTGAGAAACTCCCGCACATACTACATCATTGAGTGGTCACCTTAATTTAGGTGCATGAACTACTCTATCAAGTCATCGGTGTGAGTCTGCCCGATGTGCTTCTACCTGAACTCCGAGAGGAACTTCTCCTATGTTGGCCTCTCTGGCTCTATATTCACCTCAATTATCTCCTACCAATCTATGGCGTCACTCTTGAGTAAGGCGGTGGCACACTCAAGAATACCCTTTGGGGTGAGGTGTAGCTGTCAGAGGGTGCAGAGCATATCTCTGAGCCACTGGTCGCAGGTTATAGGATCTATTATCCTCAGTATTGAAGAACTCAGTGGTCGTGTATCTACGGAGTCGCTCTACCGGGGGCTCTTAGGGTATAGCTACTAGCTGCGCTAGGGGTACTGGTAGGGGAGGTGGTGCAGCTGAAGAACTAGGTAAGGACCTAGCTATCTGTCTAAGCTCGGAGGTAAGGTCCCTGAGAAAGGTCGCCTCCTCAACTCCCACATCTACTGGGGCACCTCGGTCATAGGTATCCGGGATAAATCCCTCACTAATATTCGGTGGCAGTGAGGCATGACCCTCGTCTCTGCCATCCTGGTTATAAGTTGGGTCGTCTGCCATAGGGTCTATCTAAAATTGGAAAGAAAAAGGGTTATTATCCTCATTTCAGTTATTACAATACTCTTGACTGCTAAGAGACATGTACATATATAGACGCTGACTGACTCTAACCCGTGAGTCCTATGAACGATTAAAGCTGGATGCTTTGATACCACTAAATGTAACACCCTTATCAAGTTTGACCCGAAGATCCAGGGATTATAATGTCATACGAGACTATCGAAATAGTGACCCAAACATTTTTCTTTAAAACAGCTTTTAAATTCACTGAAATAGCTCATTCATAATATTAAAACAAACTATAGTAATAATCTGAGTTTACAGAATAATGGGGAGCTCCCAAAGTATATCCAAAATAAATACAGTACCAATACAAATCAAAGTTACAACTAAATATACAAAAAGGGTCCATAAATAGTATATGCCCTCTAGAGAATTCTCAAGACGTACTCTGGCAGTCACTGTTGATCTGGCCTATTGCACTGGAATATCTGTTGACGATATCTACTTATGATCTGCCCTTAAGAACTGGCATACAGAAACACATTTTGAACGCCGAGCTTATGAGCTCAGTGTCTCAGTAATAACTGTATTATACTATATGTAGTCATTTAAAGAGCTAACTAGCGGCACATGTCTGAAACATGTGACGACATAGGATACTGAAACCTAATCTACTAAACTGTGGCAGACATCATGGTGTGATGGAGGGATTCTGTCATCTTGGAGCTCACACTCTCTAGTCTATCAGGTGGGAATATAGAATTTTGTCATCAAAAACTTACACCAGCCAACCACTCTATCAAGTTTTACGGTATCTGGCGCCAGTCGGCTACTGAAGTGTTGTGGCACTGACTTGGATCCACTAATTGTCGTATTTTTGCTAAGAGTAACTCGGGTGTTCTGATTGTTCTCGAGCGTCAAACAAGGCTAGTTTTATGTACCTAGCTGTTATTGTTTCTAATGTTTTGATATTAATTACTGTTATTGCTTGAAGTTTTTTTTCTATTATTCAAGTGTATTTGAGGTACCTCAAGTCTGATCCCTTAATCATTTGTTTATTTATCCAAATCTATTCATGGGTATCGATACTGACCCTTCAGTATCGATGCTAACCCTTTGGTATCAATACCACTTATTGATATCGATACTCTCTGACTGACGTGACTTTTGGATTAAGGTAGTATCGATACCTAGTATGAGCATCGATACTATGGTGATGGGGTATTGATACTTAACTGAGTATCGATACCAAATTTCGGTAAGATGTTTTAAAAAATAGCCCAATATCAATACCCATATGGGGAGTATCGATACTCAATAAATGAGTATCGATACTACTCTTATAAATCTACCCAATTTATGCCTGACTGCAGAATAGTATCAATATTGTTCATACATATCGATATTATCGCTACTGGGTGCTCTTTCTTGGCAAGCAAAATTCTATCTTTCAATACCCAAATGCCCCATTGAGGTCCCCAACTGATGTTTAAGTATTTGTTGATATTAGGGTCATAAATAGGTCTTAACACATGCTGAAACATCAAAATTATGAATCTACCATTAAAATGCTTCAAGCCTATGCAACCTACCAATTCTCATCTAAATGAGCTACATGGTATAGGTGAGTTAGAAATGAGTTACATGATGATCCTAGGCTGTTGGGAGAGTCCAAGGCTCAACCTAGAACAAGCTTGTCCTTCCCCTTAGCTTTGGAGATTTCTCCAATTTCCCTCTCTATCAAAAATCTAAGCAAGGATTACTAACTTTGCTAGAAAGCTCAGAGGAGTATTTAAAATGCTCATGGAGGTTTAACTCCCTAAATTGAACTGGTAGTGCTTGGGTTCCTAAAACCCTACTAAACCCATATTTTGAAACCAAGATGGAAAGATGAAGTTGAAAGCTTTAAAGAAAGCTCAAGGAATGTTGCTTTCGTTTCTTACCTTGGTGTTGCTGAAAAAAATGCTTGAAGTGAACTAAATCTTTCACCTTTTACTTAGAAAACGATAAAAGAAGATGATGAAGAAGAAGGGAGCTTGAGAGAAGAAGACAAAGGTGAAGAAAAAAGAGAAGCAGGGATCAGACGTGAGATCACTATTTCATAAATGATGATCAACCTTTATTTTGAACAAGAGTCTAATTACATTATGGGTCATCCTGATTTTAGCTGCTACCTAAAAAAATCATTTCTTTTATTGGGCTTATCTCAAGCCCAAATCCACTTTATTTTGGGTTAAACCTTCCAATAAGCTAGAAATTAATCTGAGGCCTATCTTGGGTTAGCCCAAAACTTCTAACTCAGGTTTCAGGGTGCTACCTAAACACATAATAGACATTTTTCTATAATCATTAAGGTAAAAAAATTAAACAATTAATATCATACAAGGACCATACAAAGAAATGGTTAAAAAACCTGACCAAATAAACTTGAACAAAAGATAGATACCGAACCTCTCCTCTACTACAAAGATATGAGCTGCCCTGTTACTTTCTCTCGGGGTAAATCAAAAGCGACATGCAGGGAAGCGATGAGCACGTTGTTGAACACCCCAGACCAGGGGACCGATTTCTGATAAATATGGCTCGGGGGATGAGAGTTTCTCTATAACAGTTCTCGAGTCCCCTTCTATTGTGACATGCATGAAACCCAGATCCAAATCTAGTTGGACCACATGGTTCGCCTGCCTTCACCTACGCCAAAAAAGCCGAGGTAATTATTGCTACCCATCTTCTACCAGCTCCTAGGATTTGCCCTTCAGAATTACGGATTACAATCCCTGACCAGAATTTGTTTTGTGACTGCAAGAAACGGGTATCGAAGTTCACCTTCACCGTGGATGCATCAGGGGATTTCCAACAATTGGTCGTGCCCGTGTTCTGAGTAATCAATCGAGCATTTGCCGTGGTAAAGTCATTACATTGGGCTTGAAACAAATAGGTAATTTTCTCTTCTCAAAACTCTACCTTGATGAAAACGAATATTCCTAGCGTACCATAACGCCCATATGGTAGTTAAAATCTCAGCATTCCTATTTGCATTGTAATGACAAAAGAGCCAAAGTAACCAATCTGTGCAATTCATCACTAAGACTTCCAAAGGCCATCGAAATTGCAAATTAATCCATACTTGTTGAGGTAAATCGCAATCACAAATAATGTGGCCCAGATTCAACACAATTACCACTATAATCCATTTTTCATATAGATTCTCTAACGATGGAATGCAATTATGGATGAATTTCCACAACTTCAGTTTGATTTTTCGTTGACAAGTACTCGCCCAGACTTATCTACAGGAAGCTATAGCATTTTGTGAAAAATTACCATCCCATAACAAGAGTCCATAAGCACTTCAAACAGTAAACAAACCTGACTTCTCCGTAATCCATTCTCGATGATCTAATGGAAAACTGAATAAAGGAATACTAAGTATTTGTTCCACCTCCACCTCATTGAACACACTTGTAACTAGAACTTCGTTTTACACTGTAGACACCCGTTTTTATCGGGATTTTAAAAATATATTTATTTATTATTATTATTATTATTTAATATTTTTTCAGCCACCCACGTTCTGTTAAAAAACTAACAACAAATCAACCCACCTACTCCACTACCACATGCATACAACCATCAGGGAAAAAATGGCGTCGAAAACGGAAGTGAAGACCTTAAATTTCTCAACCCTGGAGAGACTTCAACGGCCCCGACGCATTATAAGCGGTTGTCACCCTAATTAGAGGGGCCTTAACGACTGGAAGGAGTTAGATTCAAGCTCAAAACACTCTGCTAATCATCTCTCTTTCGAAACAGTAGCCAACTGAGCTAACAAAAAATCCAAACACAATAGAGAAAGAGCTTCTCTCAAATCTATGTTACTAAAGATCTTGGTGCAGTGAGTGCAGTGTTAGGATCTATATAAAAAAGGGTTATTTTTTATTATTATTCATTTGGGGTTTTAAGGAGATTTCGTCAATGCATCTCGTTACCCCATTCCAGTTACTGCTACTCAGCTCTTCTTCTTCCTATTTGAACTGCATCTGACTTCAGTTGATACAATGAGAAAAAAGAATAGATGGGAACAACAACAGCTCCTGGTTCTTACATGAGAGACTTCGGATCCAAGGGAGGAAAAAAGGGCTGGAGAGGCATAAAAACCTAGCTGAAAAGTAAGCAAAAGGGAGAGACAAAGAGGAAGCGACCAAGCTGCTGTCTCTCTTTTGACCAACGTCGCACGCGCTGCTTTCATACTCGGTACTCCTGCCAGTTCCTCAACGCTTCCATATACACCGTTGACGGTGGTCAAAGAGCTGTTGTAAGGGATGTCCAAAGAGCCTTCGTCTACGACTCTTACACTTTGCCCAAGCTGTATGTGAAGATGCAGTACTGTGTTTCATGCGCGATCCATTCCCACGATGTGAGGGTCCGATCCGGCACTGACAGGAGGAACCGTGACCCACCTCAACACTTCATCAGACGCAGGGATGAAATGCCAAAGCCTGGCCAGCCTGGTCGGGGTCCTCGTCCTGGAGTTGTTGTTCCTGCTCGTGCATAAGGTTCTTTTAAGTTTGATACATGGTTTTCAGAACCAGACCGGTCAACGAACCGGCCGTGCTACCGGTTCACTGGTTCAATCGGTCGAACCGGTCAGATCGGTCGGAAGAACCGGTCAGACCGATCGAAAGAACAGGACGATGTCATAATTAATTAATTATTTAAAAAATTAAATAAAAATATAAAAAACATTTAATAAAAAACAATTTTTTATATCACAAGTCATATTCAAAGCAAGTTATAACATATATATAAGTTAAAACCCATAAAATCAAGTGAAACAAAATGATTCAAATCAACTACGACATAATATTTAAGGTAAAACATATTAAATAATAAATATAATTATATAACTATAATCAAAAAATAAATTTAGGGCTAAAAAATCATAAAAAATGATATCTTTTGGTTTAATTTTTTTATTAAAAAATCTCACATGGCTAAGAAACATAGAAGAACATCACAAAAGTATAAAGAGTAAAAATATGAAAACAAAACAATCCCACATTGCTAAGAAACATAGAAGAGCATCCCAACTGACTTCTATAAATAATAGAGGTAATTTGACATTCAAAATCATGGAGCCTTTTGGTGAGCACAGAGCGAACTATTCTTTCTCTTCAATCGAGCTCGAATTTCAGGCTTCAATCGAGCTTCTAATTTTTTTTTGAGTTCGAGCTTTTTGAGTTCAAGTTTCAATATTATATTTCAAGTTCGAGTTGAACTTGATAATTTTTAGCTCATGAGTTTTTGAGTCAAGTTGAACTTGCTTTTAAAGTTTTCGAGTTCTACTCGGCTCGTTTAACAAACGACGTTTGATTTAATTTTTTTAGAAAAAAACAGAACTGATTGATCGCTTCACGGTCCGGTCCGGTTTGAACGGTTCAAAGCCGTTTCAACGGTTCCTTCCGGTTCACTAATAGCAGTTTAACCGGTGTAGAATGAACCGGATCAGACAGCGGTTCCCAATTGAACCAATTGAACCGGTCTGTCCGGCTTTCAAAACACTGGTTTGATATGAATTATTTTTTATTTTGCTTCAAAATATGTCCTGCTTGAATTTGAATTTTGTAGGATTTTTCTTCTTCTTATTGGTTGAAGTTCAATTGGGCTCCACACATTGTTAAATCCAGAAGCTCTGAGTGCTTGCGAATACTAGTTTCTTGTAGCATGTGTTTTTACTAGTAATATGCTGTGCAAGTAAAAAAATAGTAGTTTCACGTGAGGGACCTGCCAAGAAACATGACATTTTTTCTCTTAATTTATTTTTTTTGTCTCTTTAATTTATTTAGTATTTTTTTTTAATCTAACATTTTTTATTTGTTAGGGACAATTTTAACTAATCAAAGGTAAATGATTTGATTCGAGTATTTTAAATTTTAATTTTCGCAAATTAAGACAACCAACAAATTAATTGGTACCGAAAGGGCGGTTCAAGGGTGCTAATCCTTCGTTGACCGTAACCGACTTCCGAACCCGATATATTTCTGGTAAAACACAGATCAAGTAAGATAGTGTCCGAGCTGTCAAAATATTTTTAAAAAGGTCAGTGGCGACTCTAACCCAATCAATTCAAGTCGAAGCCCAATTCTGGGCCCAACCGAAAGACGGTCGCGATAGCTTGGCGACTTTGCTGGGGACAAGTAAGTGAGTCAGGCTGAAATTAATTTTCAGTTGTCTTTTTGAGCGAAAATTGCAAGTTTAAATTTTAATTTATTTATTCGATTCCAATTATTTATCTTTTATTATTTTTCAAATAAATAGTTGTACTGATGATTTCTTTGAGTGGTTTTAGCTTGTCAAACGTGTTTTTCATCTAAGGCTCTATACCCGAGCTCTGAACCCTGTTTAAGTGGGGGTGAAAGCGACGCCTTCGTGAGAATTTATTCTCCATGCGAGCCTAGCAAGTAGCCTTCGGGATTCATATTCCTTATGTCTTCGTGTGAATTTATTCATCGTGCGGGCATAAGTGAATGTATCCTCTCGAGTTTAACTTAGTCCACATAAGCTTGTAATGGGCTTAGGACTAAAGGTCTTGCAAGCCTAAGGGGCACCAGCAAGGAGAACTTGAGTACCCTTTTTAGAACCTAAACCGGAAGACTACATGTAATTAGAGCCCACCCCAAAATCTCACTTCAAACCCTAGGCTATTTTGAGATTATTTCCTGCTTTATTTTCTGTTCAAAGCATGAGAACTAGAAATTTTTGCGGTTAGGACTTGTTCAAAACTAACTTGCGGGATAGAGATCATGTCGGGTAAGGAATAATAAGCATTTGGGGTAGGACTTTTTCCTTCATTTTGTTCTTTTTCATTTCATTTTTATCATTTACATAATTCAAAAGAGGTGTTGATCCACAAAAACATGTTCGTTAAATGTAAATAGTTTGCGTTAATGGACAAAGTGTTGTAATACAAGAGATGAAAAACAAAAAATGTTCGGCTATGGTCAGAAAAGAATCAAAAGGAAAAAGAGGACAATCTGCAAGGCAATTATGTGTCACATTCAAGACGTGGTGCCCACAATCAAATACATCAAAAGCCAACTTTCCAAACATAGGTTGGCAAAGGTTGCAGAAGCAAGATGAGAAAAAGGTTACTGACCTGGAGAGTCCCTTCAAAGACAACAAGAGAAAAACGATAGCTGAAATTAGAGGTCATTATTGACAAATTCAAGAAACAAGCAAATAAACTTCGGATAACTCCTATCGATGGAAGGCTCTAATGGTGTTTCTGTTAGGGAACATGTTCAACAAAGGTGAAATCATTCGATACTTCAGAAAAAAGTGCAAAAAGTAGCTCATCACTTGCATTGTTTGGCCAGGGAATCCGAAGCGGTTGGACAGGGTATTCAACCGGTGATAGAAGAAGACAGAAGACGAGTCAAACTGTCAGAAGCTGTTCGGGGTCTAGAAGGCTTGGTGGTTTTTTGTCTCTTAAGAAATAACACTTTTGTCCCAATAAAGATTATTTATAATAACAGACATGTTTTCGGATCAATGCTTCGAACATTTCATGTTTTTTTTACATTTTGCATCTACATTTCATTTTTAAACATTTTCATAAACATGAAATTAATTCATGGAGGATTCGATGAAGTGGTCCTAATCATGTGACACCACATGGAAGCAAGATTTGAACAATTAAAAAAACTAAAATCAGTACGGTGGAAGTTTGTTCAATAGGTTGGAGGATTGAGCCTTCTAGGATGATATAAGAGAAGAGTTCCCATTTCCTACGGATTATGATGTTGAAGCTGTGTGCAATTACCACATAGGAAGCTCCATATATTTCTATGAGAACTGTAAGGCACTGAAGCACAAGATCCAAAACCTGATAGATTTAAGGGCATGGACAATCAAAGAAGGGAGCATTGCATCTACCATTGCACTGAGAGCATTGTTTTGTTTGAACACGTTTTGATCTTTCATATTAGCTTAATCTTTTAAACGAGTGAATTTATGTTACCTTCTAAGGTGGAATAATTGAACAAATTTTAATCTTTAGTTCTTTGAATATCGAATAAATTAAGGATTCTTTTAATTCTTCAAGAATTATAGATTTTTGACATATGACAAGATCAGACATTTCTTATCCTGTCTAAAAAATCCCTCTATTCTTTACCCATAATAATTCATGAAGATACAAAGAGTCATACCCATACCTTTGAGTTAATAAAGTCACACCATCGTCTTTTTAGACGTAAAACCAATATTTTTTCCAATAAAACCTAAGGCATTGAGTTGTTCATCTGAGCATTCTTCTAAGACACAACTTGGGGCATCTCACAATGAGTCTAAACATTGAGACATGTTGGGAGCAAGAAGCATAAAGAAGGATTCATTCGAAATAATTCTATCATGCATTAATTACGTTGTTTTCATGTGAATATAATTAATCCTGAAAATCTATCCCCCTGAGGATACCTCTTATGTGAGGACTTTTGTGTATGATATGATGAACAAATTTGTTGTATTTATCCATATATGTATATATATATATCCCTTGTTGTCCCTTTTTGAGCATATATTATTTTTTTCTCTAATTAAACCCTAACCAAGGATCACCCTCTACACTGGGGGGCAAGGTGGAAGAAATCTGCTCACATGAGTGAAGACATCAATCCAGAGGAGATACCAAAAGGTAAACTAAATGCCAAGTGCGAAGATCCAATCAGAACAAAAAGAGAAATGAAGCAAAAAAGAGAAAAACAAAGGAAAAGTGAAGTAAAAAAGAAAACAAGACGCATATGCAAAGATTATCTATATTCAAATGTCGCGTCGAGATTCAAATTATGAGATTGATCAAGCACAATCATTCTAGAATCACTTCACTCGAAGATCATGGAGCATCCAGAGAAAATCAAGAGGAACACATACGAGCAGATTCAAATTGATCAAGACAGGATTGAAGGCATCAGAATAAATTGATCCTTGGTTCAATACCCTAAAACACTTGTTTGGACCTATTTATCCTTTTCTTTCATAACCATGAACCATGACCTACATTATGTGCCTTAAAAGTCCCTTCTAATCATACATGGATTTCTAAACAGAAGAGATTATCTTCAGATTTCATCCCGCCCATCAGGATTAATCTTTATTTGCAAAAAGTTTTCTAAAATCTTTAATGCATGATAGAGAAAAATAAAAAATGGGGGTTCAAGACGTAAATTTTGAATGATGTCTTGAAACCAAAGGAGGAATCGAGTTGAAAACCTGAAAAGACGGCTCGAATAAAAAAATTGTGCAACTGAGGCGATCGCACAAATTCCTTGACACAATCCGAGTGTAACCATGAGAGCTGGGAATCGAAGAATACTTGCAGTAGAGGAGCATACAAGCTACCCCATCAAATCAGTGAGCATCAAAGAAACATGAATGTCAAACTTTTGACCAAACAAAGTAACTTGAGACTTTTTTATCATTTCCTTACCATTTCCCAAAGATAGCTTTGATCTTGACATTTTTCAAATAGCTATAATTTATTGAAGGGTTAACAGTGTAATTAATTCTTTGATATCCAATGAACTCTTGTTTTATGATTTGTCAATTGTAAAACCTAGAAAGGGGCAATATTTTCAAATCTTTGGTTAAACATTTTTTTCAAAATCTTCTGTTTGATATTTTCATATCTTGAAAATAAAAGAAGAATAAAAACACTTTTCAAATAAGACAATCTTTCTAAAGTGGATCTTCGGATTTGACATGTGACTCTCCGACATAAAGCTTATCCTTAGAGTCAGTGCTGAAGCAATAGATGAGTAACGATGAGGGCATCTTTGAATCATCAAATGTTGAGGCATCTTTGGAGATCAAAATCGAATATTGGGGCATCTTTGGGGATTCAACATCCAGATGTGAATGACTATATCTTCTGAAGGCTTTTCCTCCGCATGTAGGAGCAAGCAGACAAGAATGAGGCTCCATCCAAGAGATAAAACAAAATTAATTCATGTTGCATGTATCTTAGACATATTTAAGAGCATCACAATAATGATTTTTTGCATACATAATTTTGTAGCTTTTAGAGTCAATTTTAACTTCACAAAGAAGGATATTGGACTCAATAAACAACTTTCCAGTTTCATTCAGAGTCAATTTCAACTTCACAGATAAGTATATTGAACTCAATAAACAACTTTCCAGTTTCATTTAGAGTCAATTTCAACTTCACAGTGAAGAATATTGAACTCAACAAACAACCTTTCAGTTTCATTCAGAGTCAATTTTAACTTCAAAGCGAAGGATATTGGACTCAACAAATAACTTTCCAGTTTTATTCAGAGTCAAGTTCAACTTCACACAAAAGATATCGGACTTTAAACAATGCAACTTTGGATTTCAACTTCACGACGAAGGATATCCAATTCGAGGCTCAACTTCACAATGAAAGGGCCATCCACGATTTCAACTTCACGACGAAGGATATCGTGTCCACCAACAACATTCATCTTTAGATTGGATTTCAACTTCACGATGAATGATATCCAATTCGAGGCTCAACTTCACAACGAAGAGGTCATCCACGATTTCAACTTCACGACGAAGGATATCGTGTCCACCAGTAACATCCATCCTTAGATTGGATTTCAACTTCACGACAAAGGATATCCAATTCAAGGCTCAACTTCACAACGAAGGGGCCATCCACGATTTCAACTTCATGACGAATGATATTGTGTCATTCATCTTTATATTGGATTTCAAATTCACGACAAAGGATATCCAATTTAAGGCTCAACTTCACAACGAAGGGGCTATCCACGATTTTAACTTCACGACGAAGGATATCATGCCATTCATCATTAGATTGGATTTCAACTTTACGATGAAGGATATCCAATTCGAGGCTCAACTTCACAACGAAGGGGCCATCTACGATTTCAACTTCACGACGAAGGATATCGTGACATTAATCTTAAAATTGGATTTCAACTTCACGACGAAGGATATCCAATTCAAGGCTCAACTTCACAACTAAGGGGCCATACACGATTTTAACTTCACGATGAAGGATATCTGCCATTCATCTTTAGATTGGATTTTAAATTCATGACAAATGATATCCAATTCAAGGCTCAACTTTATAACGAAGGGGTCATCCACGATTTCAACTTCACGATGAAGGATATCGTGTCAAGCATCTTTAGATTGGATTTTAACTTCACGATGAAGGATATCCAATTCGAGGCTTAACTTCCCAACGAATGGGTCATCCACGATTTCAACTTCACGATGAAAGATATCGTGACATTCATCTTTAAATTGGATTTCAATTTCACGACGAAGGATATCCAATTCAAGGCTCAACTTCACAACAAATGGGCCATCCACGATTTCAACTTCACGACGAAGGATACCATGTCCACCAGCAATATTCATCCTTAGATTGGATTTCAACTTCACAATGAATGATATCCAATTCGAGGCTCAACTTCACAACGAATGGGCCATCCACGATTTCAACTTCACAACGAACGATATCGTGCCCACCAGCAACATTCATCATTGGATTGGATTTCTACTTCACAACGAAGGATATCCAATTCGAGGCTCAACTTCACAACGAATGAGCCATTCTAAGATTTCAACTTCACAACGAAGGATATCGTACCCAAAAGATTGACCCCACTTCAAGACGAGGGAGTCATTTGTGACACAGTAATAAAAAAACATTATTCATTCAGGTTAAATTTCAGCTTCCCAACAAAGTATATTGGGTTGGAAGACAATCCAGGAGCTACTTCCCAATGCTTTAAAGCTCAGTCTCAACGTCACAACGAGGGTTATCGCACTCAAGAGGTCCACGATTTCAACTTCATGACGAATGATATCGTGCTCAGAATTTTACAGTTCAACTCAACTTCACAACGAAGGAGTCACCCATGATTTCAACTTCACGAATAAATATATCGTGCCCAATGGATCGACTTAGTGTCACAGGAACCGTTTTATCACCCTTAGAAGACCAGACCTCTTCATCACCTATGAGTAGTGTCGTCCCCCAAATCAAATATGAAAAAAAGAAACAGAAAAAACTGGTTATCTTTTTTTCGTCTTTGCCCTATCCTTGTTAACATAAGAATGTGCAAAGAGGGGCAGCTGTAGACACCCGTTTTTGTTCGGGTTTTAAAAATATATTTATTATTATTATTATTATTATTATTTTTACTATTTTTTTCAGCCACCCACGTTCTGTTGAAAAACAAACAACAAATCAACCCACCTACTCCACTACCACTTGCATACAACCATCAGGGAACAAATGTCGTGGAAAATGAAAGTGAAGACCTTAAATTTCTCAACCCTGAAGAGACTTCAACGGCCTCGGCGCATTAGTAGCGGATGGCACCCTATAATTAGAGGGGCCTTAACAACTGGAAGGAGGAAGCATTTTTGAATTCTTATCATATTCAAGCTCAAAACACTCTGCTAATCATCTCTCTTTCGAAACAGTAGCCAACTGAGCCAACAAAAAATCCAAACAAGTGGAGAAAGAGCTTCTCTCAAATCTATGTTACTAAAGATCTTGGTGCAGTGAGTGCAGTGTTAGGATTTATATAAAAAATGGTTATTTTTATTATTATTCATTTGGGGTTTTAAGGAGGTTTCATCTATGGCATCTTCTTATCCCATTCCAGTTACTGCTACTCAGCCCTTCTTCTTCCTTGCTTTGAACTGCATCTGACTTCGGGTGATTCAATAAGAAAAAAGAAAAGATGGGAACAACAATAGCTCCTGGTTCTTACATGAGAGACTTCGGATCCAAGGGAGGAAAAAAGGGCTAGAGAGGCATAAAACCCAACTGAAAAGTAAGCAAAAGGGAGAGACAAAGAGGAAGCGACCAAGCTGCTGTCTCTCTTTTGACCTACGTCGCACGCGTTGCTTTCGGTCTTGGTGCCGCCGCTAGTATCCTTAACGCTTCCATATACACCATTGACGGTGGTCAAAGAGTTGCTGTCAGGGATGTCCAAAGAGTCTGCGTCTACGACTCTTACACTTTGTCCAAGCTGTATGTGAAGATGCAGTACTGTGTTTCATGCGCGATCCATTCCCACGTTGTGAGGGTCCGATCCCGCACTGACAGGAGGAACCGTGACCCACCTCAGTGCTTCATTAGACGCAAGGATGAAATGCCAAAGCCTGGTTGGGCTCTTCGTCCTGGAGTTGTTGTTCCTGCTCGTGCATAAGGTTCTTTAAGTTTGATATGAACTATTTTGTATTTTGCTTCAAAATGTCCTGCTTTAATTTGGATTTTATAGGATTTTCTTCTTCTTATTGGTTGAAGTTCAATTGGGCTTCACACATTGTTAAATCTAGAAGCTATGAGTGTTTGCGAGTACTAGTTTCTTGTAGCATGTGTTTTTACTAGTAATATGTTGTGCAAGTACAAAATAGTAGTTTCACGTGAGAGACCTACCAAGAAACATGTGCAACATATAATGATTTCTTTAATATTTTTCGCTTAATTTATTTTCTTGTCTCTTTAATTTATTTAGTATTTATATTTTTTAATCTAACATTTTTTACTTTCTTTTATATGGACTATTTTAATTAATTAAAGGTAAATGATTTGAATCGAGTATTTTAAATTTTAATTTTAATTTTCGTAAATTAAGACAACCGACAATTAATTGTATCGAAAGGGCGGTTCAAAGGTGTTAATCTTTCTTGACCGTAACTGACTCCCGAACCCGACATATTTCTGGTAAAACACAGATCATGTAAGATGGTGTTCGGTCTGCCTAAATATTTTTAAAATGGTCGATGACGACTCTAACCCAATCAATTCAAGTCGAAGCCCAATTCGGACTCAACCGAAAGATGGACGCGACACACACATTCATTCCCGATTCAATTAAATCAACTAATTTATTTACCGCCGAATTATGTGGGGGAAGCAACGTGACTAGGCACCCTATTTGGGAGCCAGGAATCGTTTCAAATGGAAATGAAATTGCCCGATCTCACTTGCCATCTCATGCCAACTTCCAAAAGCCCCTTCGCGTTCTATATACTTCTCCAAATGTAAGAAGGGGGTCGAACCAAGATTGGAACCCATAAAATTACCCATAAGGTAGTATTTAGCTCGAAGGATACGGTGCACAAGGGAAGACGGGCTGGTTAACAGTTGCCAACCTTACTTCGCTAAAAAACGATGTTGAATTTTGACATGTCTCTAAAGCCTAACCCACCATATTCTTTGTGTTGACTAAGAATCTTCCAGGTACACCAGTGAATGCCCCTTTAATCTACAGATTTACGCCACCAAAATTGAGCCATAATGCTTTCAAACTCGACACACATACTCTTTGGCCATAGAAACACATTCATTGAATACAAAGGAAGTGCATGAAGCACCGTTTTGATGAAAACTTTCTTCCCACCTTGAGAGAGTAGTCGGACACTCCAACCACGAATACGAGAATGAAATCGATCACGCAGGTGAGCGAAGGCAACCCATTTATTGCGTCCCGCTATGGTCGGGAGACCCAGATACTTCTCTAGATTTGAAAAGTCAGAGACTTCTAGAATACGGTGAACATCGCACCTGTTTGCATCGGTAACATTAGTGCTAAAGAAAACTCCTAACTTGTCAAAATTTCGTACTTGCCCTGAACAGCCACCATAAACCCGAAGAACGTCCTTAATTCAGAAAGCTACCGCCACTATTGTTTCCCCAAAATTTAGATTGCCATCAGCGAAAAAAAGTGGGATACGTAAGGAGCATACCAACTGATTCGAACACCTCAGAAGTATCCTGAAAATACCTCTTGACGAATTAAGGCCGAAAGACCCTCACTGCAAATCAGAAAAATGTAAAGGCTAAGAGGATCACCCTATCGTAGACCATGCTCCAGAGTAAAACGGTTCCCTACAACCCCATTGATGACAAAAAAAATAAAAAAACTGAACAGACACCATCTCAACATGTCTATCCATCCAAAAGAATAACCCATCTTGCTCATTATCGCCCAAACAAAACCTCATTCAACTCTGTCATACGCTTTTCTCATGTCGAGTTTCAACGCAAAGTATACCTTTTGGCCCTCGCACTTTCTCATAAATAATGTAATAGTCCGTATGCAGTAATAATTTTATACGAGATTAGCCTACCCGAAACAAAAGCGCTCTGCGTCTCATCAATGCACAAACTTAGAGAACACTGCATACGAAGGACATGCATCTTTGACACAATTTTAAAAATCACATTGCAAAGACTTATTGGCCAGAAGTGAGACAGCATCCTCGGATTCTCCACCTTCGAAGTAAGAACAATATACATGTGATTTACCAGCTCCATTTCGAGATGACCTTGAGCAAGAACAAAACAAAATTCAGCCACTTCATGTCCAATTAGGTGCCAAAATCTCTGGTAGAAAAGGGCCCCTAATCCATCCCCTGCCACTTTTAACGTATTCATCGTTTTAACTGCTTGAGTGACTTCCTCATAAGTAAAAGGGCGAGCAATTCCTGATTCAAATCGTTAGTAATCATGGGCTTAATACCTTCTAAGATCCTCCCATCCATCGGCTTCGCATATGTAGAGAAAAGAGTGTTGAAATAATCTCGTGCAAGGGCCTCTAGACCAAAATCAATATCAACACACTCACCCAAACCCGACTCCAAGAAAATGATTTTATTGTGCCTCCTCCTCTGAGTCGACAACGGTGAGAAAAAAACAGTTTTATTGTCGCCGTTTTCAGCCAGTTAACCCTTGCTCTATGTTCCCAATACAACTCTTCCTTGTCTACCTCGAAGTTCATCTGCAACTTTGTGTCAACTATTTCACCCAAAACCTCATCCGTTGGTTGTTGCGCAACAAGATCAAAAAGTTTCCGTTGAAGGTCGGATTTTATTATACGTTTAGTATGGCAAATCTGCTTGAACCACGCATCTAACCCAATGCGAACTTGATTTAGCTTGTCAATAACCGACCCCTTGGATGTTTAACTTCTTCCTCACATGAATCTTCTAGCAATCTGGCAGCCTCAAAATGGAAGTGCCAGCTTCTTCGATATTGGAAGAAGTGGTCTCCAGCTGTAAAGGATAGTGATCCAAAAACGAGTGCACCAGGGAATACTACAAAAATAATTGCTTCCAGGAGTCGTTCGCCAAACCCCTATACAAACGCTTCCTGATGTCATTTGCGACACTCCGACCCTTCTCCCAAGTGTACCAGACACCATTATAGCCCACATCTGATAACGCACATTCATCAGTTGTATCACGAAAAGCCGTCATTTGTCGTTTACCTCGAATTAAGCCCCCTCCTTTTCAAAAGAAAACAAAATTTTGTTGAAATCGCCAATGACTAACCACAGTACCTTTGGACTATCATTCAAATTTCACAGTAAATTTTAAGTTTTCGATCGACGATTTTCCACTAGGGTTCCATAAAACGCCGTGTATCTCTCGGTAAATGCATCAGAGTCTGATGTAATTATGAAATCAATATGTGAACTAGAAAACGAACGTAAAGTAGCATTAACGTAGATTTCCAAGCGAAACACAATCCGCCACTTGCCCTGCGACTCTACTTCAATGCCATTCATGAAGCCACAAGACTTCCTCACTTTCTCCATCTTGAACACTGTAGTTTTGTCTCTATAAAGAAAACTACAGAATGATTAGCATCTCTCAGTATATTCCAGAGATGTCGAACTGTCCAAGGCATCCCTAGTCCTCGGACATTCCAACTTAAAAGTTTCATTGCTTCCGACTGGCCTGGGGCAACAGGCGTGCCGATACACTAGAAATCTAATCCTTCCCAACACTTTTTTACCTCTTTGCATTTTCACCCTTTTCTATTGAATTTTCCTCTTCAACCTGAGTAATCACTACATCCTTCACCCTCTTTGACGAATTGACTTTGGTCGTCCAAGCCTTCATAGACCATCCCTTCAAATTGCTACCTAGATTGGAGGATGTCCCAGTTTTCGAGAAATCCTCCTTATGATCATTAGTCGTATCGTCATCACGTAACCACGGGCCTGTGCCCATCCATCTCCTCCTTGCTGGCGCTCTTAGCGAAAGATCCCACTGAAACACTAACTCCTCCTCCTCCTGTAAAACACGCAGAGGGCAAAAACTTTCGCCGTGACACAACTTTCCACAAAAAAATAGAAAAGTTAAGTTTTTATATTGAAAATTGGTATATGTAGATAGGCCGTTAGGCAATGCTATCTTCTTCTTCCTTTTCAACGATTTACGAACATCAAGCCTAACCCGAATTCGAAGACTGTCTCTATAACCCAGATATTTAATCGAGATATCGTAGTCAATGAATGCCCCAAGAAAATTACCTAACTGTGTAGCAACCTGACGGGATATAAACCCTACAGGCAGATCATTTGCCAACACCCAGAAATCAGTCCAATTAAGGTAAACTAACAGCAAATCCTTCCCCTCATTCTAACGGTGTAGAACCAACAGGTGAGAACTGAAATACCACGGACCCTCCTTGACTATTCGATCAATATCCTCTTCATGAAAAGCCAAAAAAGAAATATTCCCTCTCGACTGCTTTGAACAAAATTAGGCAGCCAACTTTTGTTGAAAAAATTAAAAGGGATAATTAAAATTAGCCCTTCACTTTAGGGTATTTACAAGATTAGTCTTTAAGTTTCAACTATAAATACCCTAGCTCATTTAGCTTCAAAACCATCCCAAAGCATTCTAGCTTTCTTCCAATACTATAGAGAATTTAGAGAGTTTCTTGAGAGTGGTTTTCTCCTTTTTATCAAGAGAGAATTATAATTGTTTTCTCCTTTGTAGATCGAGAGAGGTTTTAATTCCTATTTTTCTCATAGTGAAATTCTTCTACCGTTGCCCGTGGTTTTTACCCTATATTATTTAGGGGGTTTTCACGTAAATTTTGTGTCTCTTTTATCTTCAATTTTTATTTTCTCAAATTATCAGTTGCATTTTTGCTCTATCCGATAGCCGTCTTCTGCAACAATTGGTATCCGAGCCAGATTAGAATGTGTAATAACTGTCTTATTGTCTTTGTGGTTGCCACCAAACGGTGGATCCTCCAACATAAGAAAGTAAAAAGGTATTACCCATTCTTTGAAGGTTCCAAAGAACTATTCACGATAGTGAAATAGTGGGAGCTATCCGTAATAGAAGCTATGACAACGAAATTTGATATTGAAAAATTTAATGGGAGAAATTTCTCATTGTGGAA